CCCCGGTCCGTCCCATGTCGGCAGCGCCAGCGCCGTCGGGCGGCAGCGGCGGGGGAGAGCGGGGCGACACGGGGACATCGTGGGGACAGTGGGATACGGGGACATCGAGGGGGTATGGGACACCTTGGGGACTGGGAGGCATGGGGACACGGGGACATCGAGGGGATAGGGGACGCCTCAGGCACAGGGGACACCTCAGGGATAGGGGGACATGGGGACATCGAGGGGACAGGGGACACCGTGGGGACTGGGGGATATGGGGACATCGAGGGAGCACGTGGGCACCACAGGGACGGGGGACACGGTGACATCAAGGGGGTATGGGGACACCTCAGGGACGGGGGGACCCAGGGACATCGAGGGGGCAGAGGACACCATGGGGACACGGGGACATCGAGGGGCACAGGGACACGTCAGGCACAGGGGGACATCAAGGGGCAGGGGACACCGTGGGGACTGGGGGACATAGGGACACGGGGACATCGAGGGGACACATGGACACCTCAGTGATGGTGGAGGGGGAGACACGGTGACATCAAAGGCATATGGGGACACTTCAGACACAGGGGGACATGGGGACATTGAGGGGGCAGGGGACACTGTGGGGACTGGGGGACATCATGGGGGTACAGGGACACCACAAGGACACGGGGGCACGGGGACACTGTGGGGATAGGGGGATGCTACAGGGACATGGGGACACTGTAGGAACATGGGGAGATGGGCCACCACAGGGACGGGGGACCTAGGGGGTCATGGGGACACCACAGGAGCATGGGGACAAGATGGTACAGGGACATGAGTGCAGGGACCACAGGGCTGGCACCGCAACATGGGGATGCGGGGCTGGAAACGCGGCTCCAGGATGCCACACTGGGAGATGGGGACATGGGGATGGCGGCATTGGGATCCCGCACTGGGACATGGGGACATGGGGATGGTGGGACCGGGATCCCGCTCTGGGACACAGGGATGGTGGCACTGGGATCCCACTCTGGGATGCAGGGACAGTAGCACCAGGATCCCGCTCTGGGACATGGGGACATGGGAACGGCAGCACTGGGATCCTGCTCTGGGACATGGGGACACGGGGACATCGGGACATGGGGATGTGGGGACAGCAGCACCAGGATCCCACTCCAGGACATGGAGACGTGGGGACACGGGCATGGCAGTACCGGGATCCCGCTCTGGGACATGGGGACGTGAGAACATGGGGACATAAGGACGGTGGCACTGGGGTCCTGCTCCAGGACATGGAGACGTGGGGGCGTAGGGACGTGGGGATGGCAGCACTGGGATCCCATTCTGGGACATGGGACACAGGGATGGAGGCACTAGGATCCCGCTCCGGGACATGGGGACACGGGGACACGGGGACTCGGGGACAGGAGGACGGCGGCACCGAGATCCCACTCTGGGACTCAGGGACATAGGGACATGGGGACACAGGGACACAAGGATGGGCGCGCCGGGATCCCGCTCCTGGACGCGGGGACTCGGGGGCTGCGCTGCCACCGCCTCGGC